CCCCCTGGACCCTGGGCACAGAGGCTCCACCGACAGGTAGTGACCACAGCCGCCGGCTGGTGCCGGGGACGGACACGATGCCCCAGCTGACTCGGCCGTGGGGTCCTCCAGCTGTGGGTCCGCAGGATGCGTTTCATTCGCTTTCAAGACAAAGCGGCTGTGGAGGGAGCACGCGGCTGTGGACGGACAGAGGCAGCCTGGCGGCAGGCGACCACCCTTTTGTACGGAAGGGAAGCCTTTCCTTACTGTTTTGTATTTATACACAGATGATATGTATATAAACAGAGACGCCGGCACAGACCCGCAACTCACGCGGAGAGCCACCCTCTGCCCGGCTCCCCGCCAAGGCCCTTGTGCTCTGGACTTAACTTAAAACTAAAACTCTCCGTCCCCCCTTCCCGGCCGCACGGGAGGCCCTCCGAGACGCCTGCTCCTGAGGCCAGCAGGACTCGCGTGGACGGACGGACACTCACATGTTCTCGGTGACGAAATGACCAGCTATTATTTCTCGGTGCCGCCCACCAATGCCCGGTACCTCCCGGGAGGCGGCCAAGGGCGCAGCTCAGCTTCCGTGGAGACTCGTGTGAGCGTGTCGCCCGGGCTCCGACCCCCGGTACATTCTTGAGGAATATTTGCAATGTGGTGAACGTGCAATAAAGATACAGCAGATGTGTGTTGGGGCCCAGGTCCCTTACCCTGTACCCAGCTGCCCGCCCTCCAGAGAGGCAAGTCCTGGTGCTGGGCAGGGCTCAGCCTCGACTTCCAAAGTGTCCAGGTGGCCAAGCACCTGGGCTGGGAGGAGGGTCCCAGAGTCACACCTGAGCTCTCCAAGGGGGTAGGTGGGCATGGGGGCTGCCCCTGTCCCACGCCTGTCGGGGCAGCTCTGAGAGGGGTGGCAATCCTCCCAGGCACAGGCCGGCCACAGAAGGTGGCATCGGGTGGGCAAGTGTTTACCCAGCGGAGCAGGGACAGTGGTGGCCACAGGAAGGCTGGTCTAAGAGATCCAGGCCCCAACCACACGCTTCCCCCATCTGCTGGCCGCGGGGGAAATCTGGCCACAGCGAGCCCTGCCTGGCGGCTCCAGGCTCATTCCAACAGTCGCCAAAGCACCTCTGGGTGCAGGCACAAGGCACCAGGCGGCCTGAGCCCAGCGGTCAGGTAAGCCTCGGGGTTCTCAAAGCACTAGAGTCCCCGGGCAGAGTCTGGAAATCCTAGCCGCTCCCGCCTTTGACTTCCTCACCCGGCCCCAAGCGTTTCTGGTCTGAGCTGAGCCAGGTCAGCATTAGTGTCCTCACTTTACAGACGGGGAAACGGGCTCAGGAGGGTCAGGTTACTCTGCAAAGGTCAGTTTAGGATCCCTGGGACCCCGGAGCTGAGCTCAGATACAGCAGCCTCACCCACACAACAGAGCCGTTGGGCACCAGGCTGGGAAGTGTCCCAAGGGAGTGGATGGGGTGATGTGTGCGGATGGGGTGATGTGATCAGCGGCCCCCAGAACCTGTCCCCATGTCTTCCTGCCCAGCTGAGCACTCGCCTCCTTTGCACCAGCCCCCAGCAGGGGAGCGTCCCCTCCAGGTCCCCGTCTTCCATCGTCACTGCAGGAACGGGGATGAGGTGGAGAAGCAGGTCTGCTATCCATGGCTGGGTCTGGAATGTTACTTAGGGCTTTAAACTGCATTCATTTGTATCAAATTCAAAATGCAGTCAGAGCTGCTGGTGGGAAGAGAGGTGGGGTCAGGTAAGCGGTGGGCCACCGGCCACGATGCACAGCCTCACGCCAGCTCGGGGCCTGGGCTGTCCCGGCCCCTCTGCTGTGTTCTCTGTGCTCCTGGAATTGCTTGGCCGGTGGACACGCTCTCTGTTGTGCCCATTTTCCAGCTGTGTCAACTGAGGCACTGACTAGTATGGACTTCCCTGAGCTCAACACAGGGAATGGCATTTGGGACCATATCTGCCTGACAGCTCGATGGCATGAGTCGCGTCACTGACCCCCTTTCCATCTTCACATTCAAGAGCCCGCTCCACATGGCAGCCCAAGAACACCAGTCCAGGCGCCCAGCCTCCCACCCCGGGCCCCCGTGGACCGTGTGAAGGAGAGACGGGGGGAAGGGCAGGTGAACCTGGGCTGAGGGGGTTGAACTAGATGAAGAAAAGGACTTTCAAATGCTGGGGTCCAACCCCAGCAGGTCCAGGGGTCCCCAAAGGTGTGGATGGAGTCGGCGAAGAAGGAATGACATGGAGACAGCGTTCAGTTGATCAG